GGGGCGGGGCCTGGGCGGGGCGGGGCCTGGGCGGGGCCGGGGCCAGCGCAGAGGCCGTCAAGGGCGGGGGCTGCAGACCTCCGCTCTGCTCCCTGCCAGCAGCCGCATGTCGGGGTGCCCGGGAGACAGCAGGCAGGTAGGTGCCCCACAGTGGGGCAGGTAGGTGGGCAGGAGGAGGCCATGGCTGCGCTCTCCTCGTCTGGAGCGCGGGGTGGACGCTGCCTTCCTGGCTGCTGGAGACCCCGGGCCCGCCGGTGGCGACCGTCAGTGCTCAGGGTGGCCTGGCCTATGGGCCCGGGGTGTCGGGTCGGCGCCCCCAGCAGCCGGGAGAGGCAGGTGGGGCTGGGAAGCCCAGTCGGGGACCCCTGCCCCAGGCCTTCCACACCCCGCTGGGGGTCTGCTCCCACCTGCCATGCCAGGGGGCTCCACGGGGCCCTCAGCCTCTTCCCACAGGGCAGGAGCAGCAGGCTGGGCACCCGCGGGCACCCAGCGGGGGGTCTCGGCTGGGGCGCTCCCTGGGGCCGTCCCGGGCCCCTGCACCTTTGCCTGAGGCTGAGGATTCTGCCTCACCTTCTCCTCGTGGGCGCTGTGGGCTGGGGCGCCCCTTGCCCAGCCCCCAGCCCCTCCAGGAACAAGGCTGCGAGGCCCAGACACCTGTTCATGCAAATCCACCCTGGCACGCCCCCACCCCCACATCCATTTGCCTGGCATCTGGGCACCGTGCCCTACAACGCTCGGCCCAGGCTGGGGGGCGGGGGCGGTCCCCCAGGCAAGGAAGAGGGGCTCAGGCCGGGGGCTCGGGCATCCAGGGTGGCGCACAAGACCCTCCACAGCAGGGCCGCTGGGCTCAGGCGCGGGCAGGGTCTGTCCAGCCACAGGCCCCACGTGACCCACACGCAGACAGGCGGAGGGAGCCAGCCTGCCCACCCTCCAGCAGGACTCCCATGGGCCCACCTCGAGGCCTGCACGTGGGGTTGCAGGCACCCCAGATGCACCTCGTGGCCTTCACAGGGCAGCTTGAAGCTGGTGCCCCACAGGCTCGGGGCCAGTAGCGGGGACATGGGCTGGTGAGGAGGGCAGGAGGCTCCCTGGCAGCTGGGCCTCGAACACCAGGTGTGGCCTTCTGGGCCCAGCTGTGGCAAACAGGCCCTGCAGTCCATGGGGCCAGTCCCTCAGGCGTGGTCCCCCACGCCGGCCACCATCAGCAGCTCCTGGAAACAAAGGCCCCTCTGTGGCCGGCCTGGCCCTACCCCAGGACAGGAGGATTTGCATCCGCGGGGCTGGGCCCCAGCTGCACCGCCCAGCCATCCCTGCAGGGGTGAGGGCACCCCAGGGCCCACAGCCAGAGGGCAGCCCCAGTGGGTCTGAGACCACGGGCACTGGGCACCCCGCCCTCTGGGTCGGTGACCCCTGGGCTTCCTGGGAGCCATGGCAGATGACAGCCCACCTGGGCTCGGGGAGGAATGGGGACCACTGCTTCCCTCCTGGGGCCCCAAGTCCTGGGCCCAGCGGGACCCTGCACCCCCGGCTCCGGCGGAGCCTGTCCTGCCTCTCCAGCCTCCGCCGCCTCCCCACAGCCGCGCCCGCGCCCGCCGCCGCGTCGCCAGGCCCCCAGCGCCATTGCCCCGCGCGCCTGCACCTCCTCACAGCCGCGCTCCTGGTCCCGCACACCTGGGGGCGGCGGGGCAGGGGGACAGGAGCCTGTCTGCAAGGGACCCTCAGAGGGCAGCGTCCACACTCGGGGTGCCCTGGCTGCAGAGAAGCCGGGGGACAGCTCAGAGAACGGGCGACTGGCACCCCTGGTCGGACAGGAAGCCGAGGGGCCCCG